GAAGTTAACAACTTTCAGCCCAGAAATAAAGTTCATCAAAGGAGATAGCACCACTAGCCAACATGAAAATATAAGGTGGATTTCAAATCATCTTAACATCCAGTAAAATCAGAATCTGAGTAGCCAACAAAGCTTTTAGGTTGTCTCATGTAAACACTTTCTGAAAGATCTCCATTCAGAAAAACAGTCTTAACATTTATCTGATGAAGTTCCAAACTATAATGCGGCACAAGTTCCATTATGATTCGAAAAGAATCTTTGGACGAAACAGGCGAAAAAGTTTTATTATAATCAATGAATTCACGTTGAGTGACCCCTTTTGCAACCAATCTCGCCATCTTCGTTCAACATTCCCTTTAGAGTCCAATTTGCTTATGAATANAAGTTCCATTATGATTCGAAAAGAATCTTTGGACGAAACAGGCGAAAAAGTTTTATTATAATCAATGTATTCTCGTTGAGTGAACCCTTTTGCAACCAATCTCGCCTTCTTCGTTCAACATTCCCTTTTGAGTCCAATTTGCTTTTGAATATCCACTTGTTATCTATGGCTTTAGCATTCGGAGTAAGTTCGACAAGTTCCCAAACTTTATTCTGTTCCATAGAATTCATTTTATCTTTCGTACTATTCATCCATTTATGTGATCCAGGACTTGTCAATGCTTGATTAAAAAGTAACATGGTCAATAATATGCCCAACATTAAAATCAATCATAGTGGAACCTTTTCTAGTAGATTTAGTCAACTTTCCTCTTATACAATCTACACCAGTGTCAAAATCAGAGAAGTCGAGAAAGGAAAACATCTCAACTTTAACCAATCTCTCCATCATATCCTTTGAAATGTGACTCAACTGCTTATGCCACAACATGGATGATGATTTACGAATAAGAAACCTTTGCTTTGACACATTCACAACCCAAGAGACTTTACCAAAAGAAGCTAAAGACAATTTATATAAATTATCACATAAGAGACCATTTCCAATCAAATGGGAATCATAAATCAATTCAACTATTCCATTACCAAAAAATTAAAAGAAAAACTAGAAGCATCAAGTTTCGATATAGAAATTAAATTCTATCTCATTGTCAATACAAAAAATAGTATTCTCTAAAATAAAAGAGAAATCAGACTCCAAAAATAACTTCACTACTCCTATAATTTCAATCTTCACTTGAACTCCATTCCCAACGCACATGCTTACTTCATTCTCACTTGGCCTCCATTTTCTTATGAACCCCTGCGGAACTCTTCTTCTTCTTCAACCAAGTCTTAAATTTAAAAAAATCTTTCGGCCAATGACCATTCTTCTTGCAGAACTTGCATTGATTATTTTTCTTTATTGCTCCTTTGGGACCACCAGAAGTCCGACCTTCAAAATTTTTGTTTTGCTGCGATGTGATTTGTCACCCTTGTGAAACTTAGACTTATGGTCATGAAAAGACCCCACTGTTCTGTGGTGGCTGAAAAGTTAATTGTACAGTTTCAACATTTTCACGCCTCAACATATACTCCTTTTGGGCACATATAGCAATAAGGTCATTCAAATCCCATTTATCTCTTTGAACATTATAAGCAACCTTCAACTGATTAAATTGGCTCGAAAGATTATTCAGAACATGATATACCAGAAAAAGGCCCAGCAATGAAAATTTTAAGAGCCTTTAATTTAGAAAATATATTAATCATCTTCATAACGTGCTCCCTAACTCCATTTATACTATCATATCTCATATTCATCAGTTTGTCCATCAGATCTCCAGTTTCAACTTTATCAGATTCAATAAATCTCAATCATATGGCATCCACAAAACTTTTAGCATTTTCATTATTTGGAATAGCACCCATAATGGAATCGGATATGGAGCGTTTAGTAATTTTCAAACAAAGTCTATTAGCATTTTTCCACTTTTCATAATTAGCTACTTATTCAAGATCGCTTTTACCTGTGGATTTCGAAAACTGCTTTTTATTGCAAAATCTAACCCCAAAAGACCAAGTGTTATTTCTACATCTCGTTTCCCGCTTACATAATTATTCTTAGTCAAGGTTTCAATAGCAGATAATTGAAACTGTGAAAATATAAAAATAACATATTTAATATCATCCAAACATAGTGCATGCTAACAATAGATGATAACATATTCATCTAATTAATATGGGCTAAATTAGATAGTTCGTAATTAAAGTTAAAATCAAATAAACATTATTACGGTAAGAACCTAGATACATCATTATAAAGTCACATTTGGGTTAACAATATAATATGTTCAGGTATTCTTAAAACATATAACCAAGTTAGTTAACAAAACAAATTGATTTTCAAAACACCAACACCTTTGCGCAGAAGGAGATTTCCAGACCAAGTAAACTCATTAACTATCTTACGCCAATGTCCAAAAATATTACATATAATAACACCTTTAGGCAATATACTATAATAATTTAAAATTATGATGCTAACGTCCATATTTTATTTATTTATTTATTTTTTTAAGAAAACCAAATAAATAAAAATGAGTGTGCCATTTTGACAGTTATCACCCACTTTTATTTCAAAACATTTCTCATAATGGAAGCACTAAAATAGACTTGATGTCCACAAAAAAATTAATTATAATAATCACAATATCAAACAACAAAAAGTAAAATTCATGCACCATTGTGAGATGAAATTGACAACTAAATTTCAATATATTAAAATGAAATTTAAATGGACAAATAATAACGACATTTAATTATTTCAACAAAAATATAAAGACGTCAATATAATTTTAATTTTAGGTCGAAATTGAAATATATTTAGATCAAATTTAAAAAATCTCATTTTAAAATTCAAATTTAATATTTCAAAAATTGTAAAATTGACCCTAACATTAAAATTATGAGAAGGGCCTTAAGATTTAAAAAATTACAGCAAAAGTCCTTCCCCTTAAATTATAAAATGACCCCTAGTTAAATTGCAAGAAAAGCCCCAAAAATTCACAAATTGCAGGGGTGCCTCCATCCCCAAATCAAAACAAAACCCGATCTAAATCTCAAACCCCAAATCCAATTGAAACCATTTTGGGAAAAATTCATGGATCAGGTATTTACTTTTACGAAATCACAAATTAGGCCCGAACGTTTAGATTTTCAAAAATCAGGTTTTTCATAAATTAATTAATTATATTTCACAATTATTATATTAAATTAAATATTAAACTGTAATATAATAAAATTAACCCATCCCACTGCCACCTCTACTCCGACGACTACTCCGGTGACCGGCAACAATTTTGATGATTTTTTCGAGGTCATAGATCAAAAATTTTGTGGGTGACAGATTATTTCGAGATCACAGATAAAATTTTTTGTAGGTCACGTATTATTTTCAGGTCACAGATAAAAAATTTTGTAGGTCACAGATTATTTCGAAATCACAGATCTAATATTTTATAAGTCACATATTATTTCGAGGTCATAGATTATTTTTTTAGTTACAAATCATCAATTTTAAGTTAGTCACAGATACCAAAAAAATTACAATCGCTAGGTCACAGACACCAAATAGTTGGTCACAGGTCACAGATGACCAAATATTTGGTCACAGACACTTCGTCCCATTCGCTGTCGACCACAATCCCTAAAATACCCACCAACAATAACACCATGGTCACCGCCTGAACAACACCAATAACAAGTTGATCAAACATCCCACCCCACTCCCGATCCACCACCAATAATTGGACAGAGATCAATCAAAAAATTGGTCACAAAACACCACCACCGCCTCCGCCTTCTTAGTCACAAAACACCACCACTATCGTCGCATCCAGCCATACAAAACACCACCACCGCTACTTCAAGCATAGAGTCTCGGCTCTTCGCCGGAACCAACTAATCCACCACCACCGCCCAAAACATACCACCGCTCACCCACACCCATAGATCCGCCACCTACACACAAATTCGCCACCCACCTGAAATGCCCAAAAAACTTTCAGCAGCGTCGACGTTGCTGGGTCCCAGCAGCCTCAACACAGCAGTGTCGAGCTGCTGTTTCACACAGCACCGTGTCTCCAGCGACATAGCAGCGCGACGCTTCTGGGTCGCACAGCACAGCAGAGTGTCGCCATGCTGCTGCGTCTCGCAGCAGATTTGAGGGAAGAAAGGGAGGAGACTGGATGGAAGGGGAGGGAGAAGGGGCGGCGGCGACGGCGGCGGGGGTGAGAGATGGAGGAGATATGAAATGGATTAGGGTTTGAGTTTGGATATGATGTTATATTTAAAATAAAGTTGGTAGGGTAGGTAGTGGGGTGGGGTGGGCATCTAGATTAATTTAATTTAAAATATTATTATTAATATTAATTATGAAATTAAAACCTGATTTTTGATTAAATAAAGCAAAAACCTGATTTTTAGAAAGTTAAAACTAAACACTTGCTCTAGTGTAATTTCTACAACCATTTTGCCAAAAAAAAAAAAAACCCTAAGTCAGCCCATTTGCCCGTCGCAGTGCAAATTTTTTTTTTGTTTATTTTCACGCAACTCAAGGCCAACGAATCAATCGGTAGCCGTGAGTAGCGTTCTGCAGCAGCGTTGCACGCTGCTGTAGACAGCAGCTGGCGCTACAGCGCCCGACGCACCAACAACCAACAACGGTGAGCGCCGCGACTCGACCGGCAGTGGCGGCAAACGCCGCTTTTCTGCTCACCGGCTCTCACGCTTATTCACACACATTCAAATAGATGGTGAAGTTGCAGTTTTGTTCTTTGTGTGGGAAAATTTGTGTTCATAATTGCAGCCAACACTAGTAATCTGAGGAGATCAAGATCGGATTAATTTCAGGCTTCAACATATATACACATAGAGGGAGGAATGGAGGATTGAATCAATTGATGTAATTATTCACACGTGTGCACACAGACAGAATGGAGGATAGCATCAATTGTTTTGTTCTATAGCAATTGTTCACACACGATAAATGGAGAAGTCTCTATATAGGCAGAAAGTCTATGCCAATTACAGCAGACTATAATAACTCACGTCCAATGAAAACAATTGTCATAGGTAAGGTAGTTGGGTTATTTATGTCAACAATAATAGTGAAATATATATTATAAAAGAACTAAATGCAGCTTAATGGTGTCCACAATATAATAAGCAGTGTTCTAAAATACGTAATGCGTTGCGATGCGTCGAGATTGAGAATCAAGAATCACAAGTTTAAGCGTGTCAATGTGGAGAATATGCGTCATAATGCGTTTCGTACTTTTAATATTATTTTAATACAATAAATAGATTTTTATATTTTAAAAAATAATTTTTTATATCATATCAAAAAAAAAAAAAAAATTCACAATGGAACGTCTCAATGCGCGCCTAGGCGCGCATAGGCTCTCCTGATGCTCGTCTATGCGCGCATTGTCACGCATTGAAATGCATAGGCTCGCCTAGGAGGTCAACAAAAATCGTTGACCGCATTTTTACGCGCATTGTCCAATTTGACGCGTTTTTTATGCGTGTCGCGCCTAGGCGGCGCATTTGTGCGAATTTTAGAACATTGATAATAAGACAGGTAAATGGTGAATCAATGTTATTTTCCTTTCATAATAAAATAGAAATGCATATAGACACCAATCGGGTTTTGCTTTTAATTTTGTTTAAATGATTCTAATCTTAGCATGTATCTCTGATACCAATTGTTGTGATTATTTAATTATCATGCTAAGAACAAGAATCACATATTCTGAATTACTAGTTTGAAATTCATACATGCAGGAAGACATTATTATGTATGAATATTACCAGCTAGCTCTTTTTCTCGTTGCTCCTCAAAATAATCAGTCGTCAACGGGACAAGTCAAACGATATGGAGAGGAGAGGAGATCTAACCATTATATAGAAAATTGTAAACTCACCGACTTAAACCCTAATTAAGGTTTACATAATTTCGGTCAACATAGTTAATATTACCACATTATAAGAATAAAGTCCGTAAGATGTACAATAACTCAAGTGATCACTTAACATATTGAGTTTAATCACAGTATCATTGAAAACCATACATCTAACCCGTAAAATTCACAATCAAATGGAAGTCCACGTAATAAAATTATTCTAACACTATAACCATAATTTAAAATAAAAATCATGCTTCCGTTTTCCTTTTTTGGAATTATAATCTGTACATAAAAAAACTAGCAACTATCCAGTTACAGCCTTCGAAAATCAAGAAAATCTGAACCTATATTTCATTTTCTTTTGGTGGAATCAAATCTGTCAACTACATAATTACCTAACCATAGCATGTGCAGCAAGGACGAAAAAAAATTAGGATTTACCTGATGTGATCCTTCCATTTGCGATTCTTGAAACTCGAAGATTCGTGGTATGGTGGGGCTTTCGAAGGTGATGGATTCGATTTCGGGTTATCGTTCACCGCCAAATGTGAAATCCGTCATCCATGTATGCAATTGTTAAAGATGAAAATTTGTCGATGAGTAATGGAGTGCAACTTTGTAAAGTTTACTGACTAATATGGTACAAATTGAAGTATAGTGAGCGAAACGTGACATTAACTAACATTCAGTGACTCTTAAAACAATTAACTCGTGTAAGAACCCAATGTTGAAATTTTAAAAATAATTAAAATTTGAATTATTACAATACGCAAAATTGTAAATTATCAAGTCACGTGCTTGCCTAAGGTCATCACGTGCTACACGTCATCCGTCTCTCCCATTTGCCAAACGTACGTAAAAGCAGAACAGGTGAAGAAACAACAATTACTGTCATAATTCACAAATTCTAAATCCAACTTCTATATTAAAATCCCCCACTTGTACCTGAGTTTTTGGTTCAATCGATCTCTCAATTTATGCCCCGTGTTCGATCCGTGCTTATGTTATAAACCCCTACAAACGCATAAAATTCAGGTACTTTTGATTCTCTATTTCTCTGGTTAAAATATCAAAATTCAATTGGATTATGTTCTGTTTTTGTTGAATTGTTGGATCCAACTGCTGTGATCAATTTTTTGTGTGTTCTGATTGAAACTTGATAGGAAGACGGCTGGATTGTTTGTTTGGTGACGAACTGGAATTTGGGCATCTATTATTAAGGTTCGATTTTCATCAGCGATTTACATTGAGTTTTATGAAAACATATATTTTTTATATTTATTTTCCTTTTGGGTTTGATTGATAGATTCGGATTGGATTGGATGAACTGGGTGGAATTCGTTGAAAGGGAGGTTTGGTTAAAAGATCCGTATTTTTTGAATATATAAGCTTTTGATTAATTGGATTGATGGCAACTCCAGGGGGACCACGGCCAGGGAATTTCCCTCCGAATTACAACGTGAATTCCCTTGCTAGTAATATGCAAAATTTACAAATTAATCAGCATCAATCAAATAATCCTCGTGATGGTGCCCCTAGACCTCCTAATGCTTCACCACCTGGTCAACAGCCCCCACATTTTGCTGGAAGCCGACTGCGCGCACCCCCAACAGGTTCTTTTCCCAGGGGGACTGTGCCTCCTAGTGGTGCCCCACAAACTACATTGCCTCCAAACGTGGCATCTATGATCACCGGCCCACCATCTGTATCTCAGCCTTCTCCCTCGTTCACTATGAGAACTCCCCCTCCTGTGGCATTGGCATCTTCTACTGGTGGTCCTGTTGTTCGCCCACCACCTGGTGCAGTCCCATTAACAGGACCAGGCGCAAGTCCTCAACCTTTTACTTCTGCCCCTCGGACATCAGGTCCTCCAATGCCACCTCAGATGAACACTTCTGGCCCAGTTAATAATGGACCGAATGCATTCTCTTCATGGCCAACGCAAGGTGGGCCACGTTTCCCTCCTGCCATGGGTGGTACATCACAACTGCCAGTTGGACCTCCGCAGTTGCCAACATTGACGTCATCTGTGCCATCTGCTCAACCTCTACAAATGCGTCCAAACTTTGGGAGTCCTCCTGCTGGTGCGTCACCTTTCACAGGACAACCTGCCCCACCCTTTTCAGCCCCACAACAAAACATACCACCTCCTCCAGGTCCATTGCCATTTTCAGCACCAACTCAAAGCATGCATCGACCTTCAGGCTCTCCTTATGGGATGCAATCATGGCCACTACAGCCAGGGCAGGTTACAGCCTATTCATGTTCTCTTCTTATTTAACTTTATTTTTGAGGAATTCTTCTTCTTCTTCTTCTTTTACTACTTATGATGTCGTAGTCGTCATCGTCATCATTATTATTTTTGAGGAATTCATTATTTGTCTTGTTGACTCTCTTTACCATATAGTAATATTAGAATGGATATCCTCTTTGGCCAGTTAGAGATGATTTATTGACTGGATTATGCTTTGTTGACATGGACTCTTTGCCAAATGTGTGCCCTTGACATGTATGTAAATAATTATTTTAAAAATGTGGATACTTGTAACTAAAAAACATCGGATAGGATATGGTTCTAACTTTAAAAAGTGGTCATATTGTTTCATAACATGTCTTGAGGTGCATATCATGTGAGGGTATTATTAAGTACCCGAAAGCTTACTTTTTGAATGCCATTTGTCAAGGCTTACGCCTCACTAAATCTGAGGGCAGTCAAGATGTGCACTCCTTCGTTTTTTTTTTTTGAGCTCTTTTATTAGCCTCTGTTTTTTGTGTGTGTGTGTGTTTGTGTTTAAACGCAGTTAAATCCAAAAAACTAGAAAAAAAATTGATTTTGGAGAAGAGAATATTACTCGTCTGGAACTTAATGTCAAGATTGAATTTTTTAGTCGAGAACTTAAAGAGAATCACAGAGGAAGATGTGGAAAGAGGTAGATCATAACCAATAATTCTACTATCTCCTTGTAATCACCAAAGTTGTAATTTACAGGAACTCTGTTTTTAGATCACATCACATGTTAACACTGTTTGAGTGGCTAACAACTTTTCCAAACTGAGAACTATATTTGGCTAGATGACCTGGGCTTTGGAGAACTTATATTTTCTCTTGGGCCCATGAGATATTCCAACTAAATGACATGGGTCCATTTTTAAGCACATAAATACACGTATAGCTTGGATGACATTGATGATTTCACATTTGAACAGGTGATAAGAAGGATGAGCGAATGAATTTAGGTCCATGCAGCATTCTTTTTGTTCCTGCACTGGACTGTTCAGTGATGATGAAGCTCTAAAATAATCACTTCAATTTGCAAAATAACACTATGCTTGCATTTCTTTAAATATACATTTTAAACTTGGTTTCCTGTATAGGTGGCTCCACAACCTCCAGTCCCTGGTCCTATGCAACAGCAAAGGATGTATGGAATGCCACCAGCCCCACAACAACTTCCTAATCAATCTATGTCTTTGAGTCATACAGGACAGTCGAAAATTGATCCCAATCAAATACCTCGCCCGATTAGAAGTTCCTCTGTGATTATACATGAGACTCGTCAGGGAAATCAGGCAAACCCTCCTCCGGTAATTACTCTTGCTATTATGAGAAAAGGAATGCATCACTTGATATTTATTTATGTCGTGTTCTATGTTTTATTTATTGAATTATGTTCTCTTTGGTTATAGTTTCAAATTTGTTTTTGTCATACAAATTCACGAACCATTGAGTGCCAGAGAATAATTCATCAATCATGTCACAAGTTTACCATAATTAAAGTTCTTTATTTCTATTTCTTGTGAAGCCTGCAACAAGTGATTATATCGTCAAAGATACTGGGAATTGCAGTCCTCGTCACATGAGATGTACTATTAATCAGGTCATGTATCTAATTTCATGTTATTAATACTTTTAAAATATTTATGTAGACATTGGTTGTCATTTTTTCTCCTAACTTCTGCTTTCACTCCCTTTCTTAGAGGCCATTCAATTCTTTGTATGAACAATTTTAATTTCTAATATTGATTGCGGCTTTTGTTTGTTATAGATTCCATGCACCATAGACGTTTTATCAACATCTTCAATGCAGTTGGCCTTGTTGGTCCAGCCTTTAGCTCTTCCCCATCCATCTGAGGAGCCTATCCAAGTAATGGATGAAATTCTGTTTCCTACATGTTATCTTTTACATCTGCTTCTGTTCTAATGGGAAAAATGAGAGATTGTTTTGCTTAATTGGTCATATGAAGAAGTTTGCATTCATTAACAACATGGCACTTTATATCAAAGATAACTAGTCATAATTGTATGCACTCTGATCATTTGTTAACCCGTCATAATTTTATGCACTCTGATCATTTGTTAACCCGTCATAATTTTATGCACTCCAATTATTTGTTCATGCTATCCGTAATTTGATATTCACACTGTTTGTCAGAAGGTATCTTTGTTGCTCGCTCTGTTATCTGGTCCTTGTAGTTATTCTTATCCGATCCAAACGTGTACTCTCTCTAAAACTTTTTGACTGTAATGAGATAGTTTGAATGTTGTACTTGTGAGAAAAGGCATATCTCCTCGTGAATGTGTTGATTGGACAGGTGGATAAATTTTTATGATCTCTGTTGTTTGTGATTGTTCTTTCTTGTTCCTATTAGGGCATGTCCGCTTGAAATTTGGCAAGCATGATGATCATAGTCATAATATAATATGATGTGAGACAGTCCACTTGAACTGAAAAAAAATTGTCGGTCTTATATCAGATCCAATGTGGTCGTTGGTGGGTGATTTCTGATGGACTGCTTATCCTTATTTCAAGCACTTGATTTATGTCCATTTGTTTAAAGCGTTGCACATTTACATTTGGCATGTTGTTATAAATGATTCATCTTTTTACATTTTCTGTCCCCTTTACATTGTTGAGTTGTTGGTTCCTGGGCACTTTTCTTAGTGATTTGTGCTCCTACGCCTCAGGTTGTGGATTTTGGGGAAAGTGGTCCTGTTCGATGTTCTCGTTGTAAAGGTTACATAAATCCTTTCATGAAGTTTATTGATCAAGGCAGGCGTTTCATTTGTAATTTGTGTGGTAAGAGTAACCATTTTTTCCTATGTCACTGTAATGATTTATTGGTTTACCATTTATACTTTCTACAATTTTTTCATCTTACTAAGCCATTAGATTCAATTTTCCAAGGGTTGCCTTATTTGTCTTTCCACAGTTTGAAACATATGGAGCTAAATAGGAATGATTTGTCATGTTGTATAATAACCAAAGCACTAGTATACTGAATTCCTATGATCCTTTTATGCTATATTCTCAGTTCTGCATTAAGGATTACATGGAGTAAATTATTGTAGTTATTACAAAATTTTTGTATATTTTAAATATATGCCTTGCTATTACTTCAGTTGCTAGTCGCATACTACATTAATTTATTGTCAAACTATATACCTTCACTTACAATTTATTTTACAGGATTTACGGATGAAACTCCACGTGACTATCACTGCAACTTAGGTCCAGACGGTAGGCGTAGAGACGCTGATGAAAGACCTGAGCTATGCAGAGGAACTGTTGAATTTGTTGCTACCAAGGAATACATGGTTAGTGACATTTTGGTTGACCTAAATTCGATTTGGCACTTCATTGGTGATAAAGTCAGTGACACTTTAATGTTGGGGATAATGCTATTAATTGAATGGAGTCATACACTCTGCTCAGGAAGCTAGTTTGATAATGAAAAATAACCACTTCAATGAGACTGATCATTTGGTGGTAACTTGAAGTTCAGTTTGGCATATCTTAGCGTTGTATCAGAATTTTGTTTGCGAGTTTTGAGATTTAAGGGTCTTCTTTTGACACAGCATTTGGAAGTCTTTTATTAGAAGCCTGTTTTAAATGGCTTATCAGGAAGGGCGTATGGTGAATTTAGATGTTTTGCAATTTTAACTATCAAAATCTCTTGCATGATGATACTATTTACGCAATATATTCTGTCAGAATCTGACTATTTTGAACTGTTTTAAAAGTCACCCTACTTAATTATTTCTACAAGTCCTTGCTGGGGCATTTAGGAACACTCAATGTTTTCTGCGAAGTGCTTTGACTCGTAAAAAATAAAATAAAATATTCGAGAGCTTGCCACAATCCTTTCAAATGGTATACTAAATTTATGGTCCACAAGATCTTCTGCATTAGAAAATCTTTCTTTGGGCTCTAGTTGCTATTCAAGCACTTTGCTGTCAGGAGTTACATACGCTTCTAACTCCTGTTTAGCTGCAAGTTTTCATTTGCATTTGTTTGCCACTTGATAATTTTTGAATATATGACTAATTTCAGGTGCGAGAACCAATGCCCGCTGTATTTTTCTTCCTTGTTGATGTATCCATGAATGCCATACAGACTGGTGCAACTGCAGCAGCTTGCAGTGCAATCAACCAAGTTATAGATGATCTTCCTGTAAGTTCGTAATTGGTATCTTCATGTGGAGATTTTTGACTTAAGTACCCTCCATTATCCAATTGGCTGATGATTTTTGATTGATTTAGTTTTATATTGTTTTCTTTTGCTGGGTATATAGATTTTGAAGTCTTGAACTTAGTACTGATAATGTAGGTAATTATCCTGAGAGCAGACTGTTTAAATGCCTTTCTTTGAACTTTTTGAAGATGCTTAATTTGTTGTTATCTGCTCTCAGTGCCATATAAATTGTTTGGTTGATGTTGTCTGTGTATAAGATCTATTTTGCAAGGGCTACAGAATCATTTACATGCCTTTGGAGGCTGTTCTTGACACAAGTTTCATTAAAAAAATGTTGAAAGTTTTGGTCAGAGAAAAGGTCCATTAGGGGGTATATTTTTTATTGACGTACAGGAAATAAGAACATGAGTGCCTTATTAGAACGTGGTTACCCTTTTCCTTTGAGTTCCAAATGACTGTTTTATGCAAGTTTTCTTTGAATTGCTCCTATCTCCAACATCTTGTTCTTTTTTGGGCATATTTTTTGTTAATTCATGTTGACTTACCTTCTTTTCATTGGAGAATCTCCTGGCATCACTTTCATTTCTTTTTCTTTAATAAATATCTTTCAAATCTTCACTTTGGATCAGCGAATATTCTCATTATTTATTTATTTAGGACATAACATAAAGTAATACACCTTGAAATTACTCTCTGTAGATTTTCTGAGAAGAGAGCTACTTTTCCTTAGAAAGTATTCTAGTATTTACAAAAAGATGGGCTATTTATTCTACCCCATTTCAACTAATCTAGTAAGTACAGCAGCTGCCACCTACCCATTAAAAAATATACAGCAGAAACAGTGAAGACTTTTGATCTTCTTTTTGGAGAATACAAATCTACTATAAATTATTCCAACATTGGTATAATCAATTATTCCAACACTCTGCAGTCTGCATCTCTAGTTAATCTATGAATTCAATCAACACATCCAAAGAAACCATCTAAGAACTCCATTCTTGCTCATCTCGAAATAACTAAATTTCTTATTATTGTCATTGTTTGCTGTTCCTTGGATTTTTTTATTTTATTTATTTTAATTCTGAAAGGGGCAAAAACACAAAGGAATGAAGGAGTGCATGTGTATAATTTGAGCACTAGATACGTTTTCCATGATAGAGAAAGCTTAATCATGTTTGACATTGATGATCTCTTTCTTGCAGGAGGGTCCTCGGACGATGGTGGGTATTGCTACATTTGACTCAAGCATCCATTTTTACAACCTAAAACGTGCATTACAACAGGTTGGATTATCTTTTGTTTGGTTTTTATAAACATCTTAAATTTTCTTCAACTATTATATGCTTGTTATTGGCTATGATGATTCAAAAACTTTTACCTTCTTTATTTACTGTTCCTGATACAAAATCCCTGTATTATGTTTTATCACCTTATCTTGCAATCAAAATAAAGTTGGCATTAGCGGTGTCAGTGACAGTTGATGTTGCAGAGAATGCTTGCTTTGATATTTTGCTTCTGTTTGATTGCAGCCATTGATGCTTATAGTCCCTGACGTACAAGATGTCTATACTCCTCTCCAAAGTGACGTTATTGTTCAACTTTCTGAGGTTGGTTACCATCCATCATTGTGTGTCATCTCTTTTTAAGGGGTAGTTTTACTTTTCTGCAAATTTTTTACTTTCAGTTTTGTATCAATTGCTATTTTCCAAACTCTTTCCCTATTTTGCTTCTTTTTTTCTTGTGTTTTTCCCTGTGTATGTTTGCGGAAGGTAAGGAGGGTCAGTGTTGAGGTATTAATGTTTCCATTGATGTTAAAAATCTTCCAAATGATTGCAATAAAATTGATGACTGCAGTGTCGACAACATTTAGAGCTTTTGCTGGAAAGCATCCCAACTATGTTTCAGAACAATAGAACGACTGATTCTGCTTTTGGCGCGGCAATAAAGGTACATAAATTTTATATCATTTCCATTTATATCACTTACATTATATAATAACGTTTTGGTTGTCAAATATCTTGTTAATAACTTAATGGTTAAATTGTCAAGCATTTCGGTTCACACTTTCAGTTGCGAAGACTTCATCACAGAGAATTTAGCTTGTGGATAAGAAATAATAACTAATAAGTGCATCATATTCAAAAAATTTGGTGACTTCTTACGATGAAGAATGGTCTCTCTCTGAAGTCGATTTTGGCCAAATAATTGTGAGGTCTAGTTACAAATAAATTGGAACTTGCTATTGGCAGATCACCTCATGTAGGAATTTATCAGTTGGAATCTTGAATATACTATATTAAACAAGCTTCTGTGAAGTAGTTGCCTGCTTTACCATGTATCAATCACAAAAAATCTTCAGTGTGGCACCTGTCGGTTATCATAAGGATTTTTCTTTTAAATATATGATTTCACTACACTTGCGCATGATCTTTCATATTATATGTTCTCAATCAATTTAAATTGATGTATTTACATAAATATTGTATGCTTTCCTATTTTTATTTATTTATTTTCACTTCAGGCTGCTTTCTTGGCGATGAAAAGTTCTGGCGGAAAACTCCTAGTTTTCCAATCTGGTAAGATTACAAATATGTTTACTTATTGATGATGTGTAGTTGTAGAATGAATATGCTTACCGTTTGTGATGTTACAGTCTTGTCGTCAATTGGCATTGGATCCCTTTCTGCTAGAGAAGCTGAAGGAAGAAGCAATAAATCAGCAGGAGAGAAGGTATGGATGCTTTATCTACGGTTTACTTATTTATCTTCCTTTTGTTCTTTAGTGCAGTTTATGTGTTGTGGTTCAACTCAATCTGTCAGTAGTTTGTATTGTTTTTACTTTTTATATACGAGTATACAATAATTTACGCTTTGGATAATCCGTGGTGAACTGGGAACGTCATTTGCTAGAAACAAGTATTAAGCCTAATGTATCATCTTCGATAAATAGAATTGTATTCATCATTGGATTTCAGGAGGCTCAGAAGTTACTCCAACCGGCAGATAAAACTCTAAAAACAATGGCAACTGAATTTGCTGAATACCAGGTGAAGAAACAATAGTGGATGTTATCAAGATTTTGACAATGCCATTTCTTCAGATTTATAACCACTACTTTGTGTCCTCGCCATTTATTATTTCTACACTGTCAGGTATGTGTTGACTTGTTCATCACAACACAAACATACGTAGATATCGCTTCCATCTCCGTCATCACAAAAACTACTGGAGGCCAGGTAACTGTTGAATTAATTGTTTTCTTAGTCAATATATAATTATGTACCTTAACTCCTTATTTGGTGGTTGTATCATCTGTTATCTCAATGTTAAGAATTTAGCATGAAATGTTTTTTCCTTGAACCATTTGTCAGTCATACACATCCAAGTTTCATTATCATATAGAATATCTTTTCGTGTTTCAGATATTGATTTTGAGGTCTGATTTCAGAAGTTTAACTTTTTCTCCAGGTATATTATTATTACCCTTTCTCTGCTCTGTCGGATCCTGCTAAGCTTTACAATGATCTTCGGTGGAACGTCACGAGGCCTCAAGGCTTTGAGGCAGTGATGCGAGTTAGATGCAGCCAGGTGTGTTTCTTATAGTCTGATTTTTCTTAGCCTGTCATCTATGCTGATAAATTTCTATTCATGGGAAGAACAGTTCAATGCTTGACTGGCAGTAAGAAAATGACAATAAGTTAAAAATCATATTTTTCTTGTTAGGGTATTCAAGTTCAGGAATACTTTGGGAACTTCTGTAAACGCATTCCAACAGATGTTGATCTACCTGCCGTATGTCTCTCTCTCCCTCACTACACTATTAGATACCTATTCAGGTGTTGGTTAATGATGTGCGAGATCTTGACACAATTAGAAAATTAAAAGAATTTGATTCCACAAAACCATTTTTGGTCTTGTATTTACTAGACACTTATTCAGGCTTTAGTTAATAACCTATATCAATTATCTAATGTCACAGTTGCCTACCGATCACTGAATAAATGATATTCGTAAAGTTTTGAAGTATCAGTTTTTCATTCTTATTCGCGTCCTCTGAACCCGTCATAGTCTTTCTGCATCCATTGGAGTCTAGAAGTGGCATTTCCTCTATTTTCTATTACTGAGAGAAACATCTCTAGTACATGTAAGATAAACTTTCAAGTCCTTTGGTAGGAATGATCTCTAAGATTAGAAAAACAGTACTCATGATGTGTACATTGTTTCATCGTTGCAATTACAAATCATCCTTTTTAATTTTGTTAGTTGTTTTGCGTTTGTCCTTAACCCAAATTGTTGGAGAGATAATTCAAATAAATCATATGGCCTCTCTCTAACAACTCAACTTTTTTAGATGTGATGGTTAACGTGGTATTAGAGCCACGCAAAAGACATACTGCATTTGATGCCAATTTTCATATTGGGATGGCATTAGTAAAGGTGGCACAGGATGTTCACAGAGTGTGTGCCTTCCGTACCACCACGAGACTGGTTGTTAAAGGCCTGACTTAAAGTCTCGCTGCCACCCATTTATTAAAAGTTGTGCATGTTCTAGGCCTTGATGTGTAAAATGAACCCGGCTTGCATTTGAGAGGGCATGTTGAAGACACAATTGAAATGAATACATGTGGCGTCTCTCTAATATTTTAAGCTTTTACATGTAATGGTTAACACAAATTTAATGGGAAGGTCTTTGTTTGTTACTGTTGTTGCACTCTGTACTTTAAGTTGATTTTGATTAGTGATTCTATAATGGCATAGACCGGTTTCGCTTTCAACTAAGACTTCACTTTTGCAGATTGACTGCGACAAAACAATAATGGTAACCCTAAAACATGATGACAAATTGCAGGAAGGCTCAGAATGTGCTTTTCAGGTCAATCTCAATTCTTTGCATAAAGTGTTTTACTTGGAACTCTTAGTTCTGTGATATTTTTGTATCTTTTTGTTGAAGAAGCAACTGATCGTCTGATCACTTGGTATAAATTATGTTGTCTAGTGTGCTCTTCTCTACACCACTGTATATGGGCAAAGAAGAATCCGGGTTTCAACTTTGTCCCTTCCTTGCACGACAATGCTGAGTAATCTGTTTCGCTCTGCAGATTTAGATACCCAATTTGCTTGTGTCCTGAAGCAAGGTAGTTTGCTGGGCACGTGCCTTGTTAATTTTGTCCTTAAATTTCTTATAGTTAAGAATTTACTGCAGGTTTCGTCTATTTATTATGTTTATGCATCTAAATAGTAATGATTTTGGCATAATGTGTTTTTATTGAAAATAGTCCCTTGTGTAAAGCTTAACCTCTGCTCTTTCCCACCCCCACCTGTCTATTTCCCTTCCCCCCGCAGTTGCTTTTTGGCCAATTATAAACAAATTCTATCAGTGATTTCTACTTCGTTGTTGATTACATACTGATTCTGCTCTCTGATTTTCTCATGTGACAGTGGCTGGTGAAATTCCCTCAGCTCCACTTACGCAAGTCAGGGAGCAAGCAACAAATGTTTGCATCAACATTCTGCACTCTTATCGCAAATTTTGCGCGACAGCATCATCTTCAGGACAACTCATTCTTCCCGAAGCACTTAAACTGTTGCCTCTATACACACTTGGTATGCTTTATATATGTCATGCCTTTCAGCTCTTTTAGAGTCTTACTTCTAACTGGAGTGGCCCCTACCAAATAACTAACTGTGTTAGCTAATGAGGTTTCACCTCCCAAGTCTTTGTGTCCTGATTTTGCATATGGTCATGCAATTGCTACTTCATGGAAATTTCTCTTATTATCATGAACATTGGGACAAAATGATATTATCTGTTGACGTTAAAACGTGTATGGATCAATTCAAGTCAACTTTCAAAGCAAGTAAAGAGAAAAATGAGGATTTTTATTGATAATTGCTTATACATTACAAGAGTTTCATCAAAGGAGACATTTTTTATCCCAAGGTGTCCTCATTTTCTAAAGATACCTTACACCCTTTTATTGGAAAAGAAGATCCAGTATCTTCACATTCATGTCTTGTCAATCACCAGGGCTGAACTGAAAAGTACATTACTGGCATATTTTCATTGGTTACTGAGGTCGGCTTTGTCAGTCTATCATGAAATCGTCCTTTAAGAGGGTCCCTAGCAATTAATGAACTAGTGAGTGGATGAAGCTACATCATATGATTGGTGAAATAAGTGGGCGTTGACGTTCTGAATGTAATAATTAATTTGATTGGATGTTTGATCAGTGTGTAAGGAATCTATAATCATTATGTTCCCTTGAACCACGGCGTTACAAGCTGATTTTATAAAGCCGATCTCAAATTAGGATAAGTTGAGTGTATTTAACAATTGGTTTTAATTAGGTCGCAGGTCGGATGTTAACATTATCATTTTGATGTTCATCCGATGAAAATCACTACAGTTCATAACACCGTAATCTATTTTTTTTTTTAAATGTGAATGAAAGAATGGGACACGTTTCCAATTTTATTATTATTTAGTTCTTTCTACCTTTTCCAGCTTTTCTCAAAAGCAGTGGATTGCGAGCTGATGGACGAGTCGATGATAGGTCCTTTTGGATTAATTATGTTTCCCCTTTGTCTACTACTTTGGCAATCCCATTGGTGTACCCCAGGATGATAACCATCCATGATCTTGATGAGAAGGTATGTATCTGTCCGGATTATGGTATTAAATAGTAATTAGTATGCTCCTTCCTCTGAAACCTTTATATTGAACTGCCAGGAATTGGATGATTCCCCGATTCCTCCTCCTGTCCCACTTTCCAGTGAGGACATTTCTGACGAAGGAATATATCTGCTTGAGAACGGCGAAGATTGTTTAATTTATGTTGGTAACTCTGTCAATCCGGATAGTTTGCATAAGTTGTTTGGCATTTCTTCAATTGAAGAAGTCCCTAATCAGGTATTCAACATGGCGTTTTCGTAACTTTTATTTGTTGATAGTCATCTGAACCTTCATATATATCCTTTTGTTCGCTAAGATGTCCATGACATATCAACCACAAGAGTATCTTAAAAATAAATGTTCTAAATATTACTTAGAACTTTCGATTCCAGTTCCAATTTTAGACTGTCTGTACTTGCCAAAGTTTCTGGAATGGGATTGCATACATATTGTTAAGCATTATTTGTGTTGAAAACTTCAACTAGTGTCTCCACCTTAACGTCATTGTACCTTTTCAGTATGTACTGCAGCAATATGACAATCCATTGTCAAAGAAGCTGAATGATGTTGTAAATGAGATAAGGCGCCAGAGATGTTCCTACCTACGGTATAAATTCCTCTACGCAAATGCAATATGTTGCCCTCTTAATTGAATTAAAATTTTGGTTATATAATTGTGGCAACTTTCTCATCTAATATTGTTTCTTTCTTCTATATTGCTTCAGCTTAAAATTGTGCAGAAAAGGGGATCCATCAGGTTAGTGAATTATACAACCCTCTAGCACCGCATAACACCCAACCATGTCTCCATGTCTCCTTGTGGGGGGGAAAAAAATCAAACACAGAAATTTACATAATGGGACGAGCATGGAAGAGTTTTGCTGTGTGAATGGAGGACTTTAGGGGTTATTGAAATTTGCCCAGCTCAAGAGTATTATATAAATAAAATTTGATAGGACAACGGTTTGTGTGAGTTGAGCTGTATCGTTTTATACACACTTTTATTTATTATTATTATTTTTTTTTTTGCAGGGATGATGTTTTTCTCTTACATGGTAGAGGACAAGACTCCAAGTGGGCTTTCATATGTTGAATTTCTAGTGCATATCCATAGGCAGATTCAAAGTAAAATGTCTTGAAGATAAACACTTGTTCAGTTTCGTTTACTAGTTTTGTTATTTTTAGAGGAGGGATGCACATGGATTCAAGATCCAAGAATCTGAAATTGCGTGTTAATCTGCATTCTGAGGGAGCCTTCACTTATTACTTAGTGGTGAAGAGCAGTGAATAGTTTTGAAGGTTCCTATACTTGCAGAGGTGAATGTCGGTAATAAATTACAAAGAATGTTTTTATTTGTGTTTTAGATTCACATCTGTCATATTTCATTCGTTCGACAACCCTTTGGTTGTGGACGGATAATATTTAGTAGACAAAATTTTGTTTTGTAAGACATGATACTAATGTTGGTTTTGAACTATTCGATGAATGGAGGACATGAATTCTAATTTGGTAGTCAATTAGAGAGGGGTGAGAAAAATATGGGTTAATTTTGAGCTTCATTTTCCCTTAATCTGAGTTATTCTGTGAGTCTTAAAACATTGCAATCTTATGTGAACTTTAAAAGTTGAAAGTAGCATTTTACATTTCTAGTAATGTGCCAACTAATCATGTGATGGTTGTTAATTTCGAAAGTAATCGTGTTTTAAATCGATATTAATTTAGTTGGTGGAGCATGCTCACATATCTATTCATTCCAATTTCAAATTTGTACTTAATACACGATTTACCTAAAAATTAAGGTTGGTAGCGTGTCTTAGTAGAGCGATAACAAATTGAAGTTATCAAGCAATTCCATTGCGAACGAGTCCCCATCCTTTTGTGTTCTGTCTTACTATGTGGGTGTTTGGTAGTGATTAAAATTAGATTTTTAGTAGATTGTGCTAGAAATTTTTGAAATGTGTGGTTGAAAAGGTTTGTGATTCATGAAAGATGTAATTAATATTGATTGTTTGACTTTGACTTAGATTAAAATCTGATTTTAATCATAAACAATCCATGAAAAATGTGGTTAATATTAATTGTTAGATTTAAAGTAAAATCTGATTTTAATCATAAACAAACAAGGCCTATATTTGAAAATTGTGCTAGTTATGTCTTGAACGTTAAATAGTTACATAATACTCGTGATGTCAAATTCAAAGTGTAGAATTGTTGGAAAAAGATTTATTTGTTCTGAAATCAAACAATGACTTCACTTTTCTTTTAAACGTCTAAATAGGATAAAAATCTTTAACTTCCTTGAAATATATACTCTTACTTCAATCAATTCCTGATATGATGTTGTGAGTGTAACATTGTGTTTTTACTATTCGAATAAACTTTTTCTTAGAGATTGCGAATGCCCTACCCTTGCCTCGAAAACATGGTTCTTGTCCATTGCCTACGGTCTTCCGAATATCTCTGGCGGTCAAGAGATTGGGACGCGTTGTGTGCTAGTTGGGGACATGTTTGCAGCAAATAGTAGGTTGGGGATATAGATGCCATACCCACAAAACGTGTGGGATCCCGATGGAATTTACCCTAACTTTATGTCAATTATCCCCGCCCGCATGGGGCCCACCACCCAGAATTTTTTTTTTAAAAGAAAAGCATTGATAACACGATTTCCAAGTCCAACTGTGTAGTGTAGCTGAAACGGAAAGCCATATGTAAGCATTAAATCTCTGCCCCACACCCTACTGCATATGTAGTATAGGTTTCTCAGTCAGTCCCAATAAAATAAAATACTGTTGGAATTGAACACAAAATTGATTGTTTTTCTCACACATGTATGCACATGCATATAGTTACATTATACCCCTCTCTCCTCCTTTCTTACTCGTCTAAATCTTTGCCTTTGTTTCGTCGTCCTGAAATTCCTAGGCTCCAACGTTCTTGCAGGACTGGAGCTTTGTCCTGCTCATGAAGTTGGATTAATACTGTCTTAACTTAATTCTATTTGTCTGAAACCATTTTTTCTTGTCTTCTGAGTAATGGATCCAGCACTTGGTCCAGTTTCAATTTCTTATGATTTTAAGGTAAGTTTATTTCACTTTTTTCTATGTTACAATCACTTATTTTTCACTTCTATGAAAAAGTGAATTACATTGATCTTTCGATCCGATTCAGAAACTATTTACCAGCTTCTCTGTGTGTGTGTGTGTGTGTTTTTTTTTCCCCAAGGTGATCACTCTAATTTATGAAGAAATGATGATAATTTTAACTTCAATTGCTTTGATCTTTCGAATTTATTAGAGATGCATACATCCGTTTTTTTGTATGTACAAACATCTACTTCTTGAATTTGCAGTAATTTTTACAGTTACTGCAGATATATTTGGTAGCTATTATTTTTATTAATCAGCATTTTGGAGAAATTTACTTTTAATTGACTTAGTACATGTTTGGTTGGGCTTATAAGTAATGGGACCCCTACTTTTTGTTGCTCGAAATAAACAAATTGTAGGATTCACAGCACTTAAAAAGCAATACCAAATAATAAGTTTCATCTACTTTTATGCATAAAGAAACATGTTCTAGTCCACTCTTATTTGAGTTAATTGGGTAAGAAACGGTCATTATAGAATATACTCGAGTGTTCGAGGACAAGATTTTAAAAAAGACACAGAAGTCAATTGCCTTTTGATTTGAGGCCTCCATTGATTTAACATTTAATGCCAATTAGACTAGAATTATAGGTTAGATATATTTTCCTTATGTATTTAATTACACTTTTGACAAAGTTTCTATCCTATAACACACTTAAGGTATGTTTGGGAATACAACATTGGATAGGATGAAACGGCACAAAAATTAAGATTTTTACTTATTTTTCTTCTTCGGTATTGTCAAGTGGTATTCGCTGTTTTCATTATAGGTCATGTCGTAGGTGAGATCTCCCTTGCATGCTTAAGTTGTAGTTTGACAATGTTTTTGCCCTATTGGTATATGACACGTTGATATTGGACTATATAATAGATAAGATTTTAACTTATTTTTCTTCTTCAATACCGTAACAATTTACAACACGCTGTCCTGTATAGTAGATCTGCTCTACCGAATGTTTCAATAGGTGTGGAAAAATTTTCCACAGATAATATTGTTTGAGCTGTTTGTACTATTGGATAATGTATTATAGATCATTTTGTATCATTGTATGTTCGTATATTTCTTAATCAAGCTGTTCGGATTTTGGTGTTCAAGTTAGTATCTTTATGTGAAGATCAAATTTCTGTTTAACCTGAAAACTTGCAGAGAGAGACATGGATGCGTACACTCGTTTTATCATTTCAAAGCCTCGGAGTGGTATATGGTCGGTTGAGCACCGCTCCCTTGTACGTATTTGGATCAATTGATCCAAAGGATATTGAATCGCGTGAGGAGATGCATGAACTCTTTTCGTTTGTGTTCTGGACTTTAACTATTATCCCCTTGCTGAAGTATGTGTTCATTGTACTGAGAGCGGATGACGATGGAGAGGGTAACGATCTCGATAACCCTTTAGATAAAGGGTCGACTCTAATGTAGTGTATATTGAAACTCATATTTTCATGGACTTTTGCAGGTGGTACATTTTCATTGTACTCGCTGCTTTGCAGGCACGTCAAAGTTGGGGTGCTTCCGTGTAATAAAAATTCCGGGAAAATTATGGATCACGAGGAAGAAAGTCCTAAGGAAAAACCGGAATCTAAAGCTAGAAAGGCCATTGAAAAACATAAATGCAGTCATTATTTACTGCTGTTCCTGGCTTTACTTGGCGCTTGCATGATAATTAGCGACACAGTTCTTACCCCGGCTATTTCTGGTTCGCCCGTATATCTATTTCTATTTGAATTGATCGATTTATGTAGTTACTATAGTTAATATACCCTATTTGACAAGGTTATGCAACTAACTCTGTTGTTCCATCCCTCCAGTGCTGTCGGCATCAAAAGGTCTTGGACGATCATTGGCAATGATTCCAAAGAAATGTAAGAATTTGCATATATTTGGACCCAAAAAAAAATGGTGATTTTTTATTTGTACTGAACTTTTAGCGATAACATGTAAAGACTAAAACTTAGTGTGCTTTTTTACCAGTTTTCTCTTCTGATAAAACAAAACACCACGCTGCGGAGTTGTTGAAGAAATGTAAGTTCTTTAATCTGAGCGTAAACGAGTCATATATTGATTTTAGTGAACTTAATAGATTTTATTCTGTGATAGCATTCTGAGGTTGTACTGACTGTTATAAGTTTACCTTTTTGCGCTTCTTGGATTTGAAAATTAACTTTTAGTTCTTGATTTCTTCAAAATGTTAGATGTACCAACTCCTGCAGCTTGTGCCATATTGGTTTGCCTCTTCACTTTGCAACACTACGGGACCAACAAAATTGGGTGCATGTTTGCCCCAATTGTCATCGTATGGATTTTCTTCATGTGTGGTTCGGGTCTATATAATATTCTTCATTGGGATCACGAAATCATTCATGCGATTTCCCCAATATACATGTTGAGGTTCATGAGGAAAATTAACCTTAGACACTGGAAGCTACTAAGCAGCATTGTCTTGTGCATTGCAGGTTAGTTCTGTACGCTTATAAGTAGTGTATCACGCTTGCTATTAGAATTTTTATCTATAATCATTTTTGCTCTTATAAAAATGATTTTCAGGGTCCGAGGCAATGTTTGCCGATCTAGGTCATTTTTCGAAGAAATCTATCAAGGTATAAATGAGTTACATTTAACTTAAAGAATACAGAAAGTAAAATAGTTCATTTACGAATTTCGTCTTCGATGCAGATCACGTTTGTCTGCCTAATATATCCAGTCCTTGTTTTAACTTATGCCGGCCAAACTGCATTTATCTCCAAAAACTTGGGTAGTGATGATGTTTTTCATCTCAGTGAATCTATCCCCAGCAGTAAGTTTTTCCTTCTCTTCTTAATTTTTTCTCTTCTTAATTTCTTCTACAATGGTTACCTCACATGTAAATTCTTGGTTCCTATTTTCGGAGAGTAAGGTTTTCCTTCTCTTCTTATTTTCTTCTACGATGGTTGCCTCACGTGTAAATTCTTGGTTCTTATTTTCGGAACACATGGGATTTTCAGAAGCTCTTCAGCACATCTTTGCAGTGTTGTCGCTGTTTGCTTCTGCTGTGGGAAGTCAAGCAACGATTACGGCGGGATTTTCCATCATAAATCAGTGTCAAGCACTCGATTGTTTTCCGAGAGTACAAGTTGTCCACACATCAGAAAAGGTACGCGGACAGGTTTATGTTCCCGATGCGAATTGGGTGTTCATGGCCCTCAGCTTATCAGTAACCATTGGTTTGCATGACATATCGTCAATTGGAAAAGCAACAGGTACATATCACTCTAGGATATTCATTGTGTAACTCGAATCAGACATACTGATCAGAAATTTCGCAAATACGAGTGCACTTGCTAAAAGGGATTTCGGTGGTTATTGAAGGCCTGTTTGGGATAGCTTTCTCTTTTTGTAGAAGAGCTTCTTAAACAAGCCATCTTGGACTAGCTTTTTTCTGAAAGCTAGCTTTTCTAATCAGACAATACACTTCTAAAAAGTTCTCCAAACAGGCATAAAAGCAGTTTCTTCAAAAGCCATGCCAGGCCTTGAATCAAGTTTCTTGTTGGTTATGTCCAATTCAATTTTACTCAATTCTATGACAGGTTTGGCTATTACTTGTGGAATGCTAGTAACGACTTGTCTAATGTCGCTTGTGATTGCACTGTACTGGGAGAAGAGTTTGTTCATATCAGCATGTTTTCTGCTATTCTTCGGTGCTATTGAAGCCATATATCTGTCCACGAGTTTGTTAAACTTCTTCCGCGGGGCTTGGTGTTTAATGATCTTATTGTTGCTTTTCATGACGATTATGGTTTCTTGGCACTATGGTACCCTAAAAAAATATGAATTCGATATAGAGAACAAGGTATCAGTCGAGTGGCTAACGGATTATAGTCCGGGTCTAGGAGTTTCTAGAGTGCCAGGCATTGGCTTCATCTACTCAGACGTTGTGACAGGAATCCCGGCTTTCTTCACCCATTTCATTGCAAATCTCCCAGCATTTCATCAAGTGCTGATTTTTGTCTCTTTCAAGTCCTTACCTGTGCCCTGCATCCCCAAAAGCCAGCGATACCTTGTAGGACGGGTCGGCCCGAAAGAATACAGTATCTATCGGTGCATTGTGCGTTATGGATACCGCGATAATGTTAGAGATACAGATGATTTCGAGGATCACATCATTAGTTCGATTGGTGAATTCATCAGTAGGGAAGAATATGATTTTGAAGCATTGACTTCACCAGAAGGAAAGATGATGGTTTTAGATAGTCCAATGAAGGATGGAAATGCATTAATAGCTGTGACTGAAGAAAGCAGTTCGACCGGAGATATTCAAACCTTGTCTGAAAATGGGTCCCGGAGGAACTTACTGGATAGTAATGCATCATCAGAAATTACTCATTCTCCTTCTGCTAAAAAGAAAAAAGTTCGATTTTTGCTTCCTCCGAAAAGCCTGAATATGCGAGCGAGTGTACGACAAGAACTTCAAGAGATCATCGATGCACGGGAAAGTGGCACAGCTTATTTCCTGGGACATTCACATATATCAGCAAGAAAGGGCTCAAATTTCTTCAAGAAAATTCTTATAACGTTTTATGTTTTTCTAGACAAAAATTGCAGAGAGCCTCCAGTTGCACTGAACATCCCTCATGCAGCCCTTTTAGAGGTTGGTACAGTTTATACATTATAAAAACTGGTTTTTTACCGGATGTATGCTAAACTTACTGATGTTAAAGTTGTAAGTAACAAGGCAAATACAATCCAGGACACAGGCATTAATAATATATACGGTGTCAAATGTGCTAGACGTCACGAAGAATACAGCTCGTCTGAACTAGGCCCGACTAATGGGGCCCGGTATGTGTGCATGCGATTGCGATGTACAAGAATGAATGAATGTGTTGAAGCATCTAACTGACTAGCTAGCTGGAAATTATAGTTTATTAAATGACTGAAAAATATGTTCAAATTAGTAGTATCTACTATAGCTAGATAATTTGACATTCGATATTGTTGGAGAAGCTGAATAAATCTATTTTCCGAACCGACTGGTCGAGGGTTCAATCTATAATTTATAGCATTCCAGGACTCTCTAAAGCCATTCTCCTCATTTCAAGTCAGCTTACCCTGGCTCCTGTAGAGGGGGAGAAGTTAAAGAGAAATATAACCAAAGATTAACTTTTGCCACATTTTTAATTAAACATATGTATTATTGGATAGGAGTCAACAGTATAATGAATAGGATTTTAGTTTTTATTTTTCTTTGTTTTAAACGGTACCAAGTATATGCTTCGTGTCAACTTACGGAGATAAAGCGGTGGATGAAGGGTTTTCCATTAGTTCTTTGAGTTGAGAATGCATATTTTTTATGAATGCCATGGATTCTTGTTGCGGTTCTTCAATTGCTTCTTTTAGCATGTTCAGGGTCATGCAGTATGCTTCCTGCAAGAGGATAGATTACTATTAGTGCAGTATATGTAACTGATAAAAGAAGTTTTGAATGGTGTAAAAATATGCAACGCGATAATTGTTATACAGTACTAGATAAGAATAGATCAAAAAACCCATAATTGTACCATAAACTGGTCCAAATCAGGTTGGTTAGCCACAGATGAGTTCAGTTTGATATCAGCTGCCACCGAATGATCAATATCTTCGTTGTCACCTAAACACAGCTGCAAAGGGAATATGGATGCATATGAGATGATTTTCTCCTCTTTAATTTGCTTCACTATATAACAGATCGAAAACATGAATAAAAAATTTGATTCCTGTACTCGTATTCTTAACGAAGAAGTTAAGGTTTGGCTCTTAAATGTCCTGTCTACACTGATTTCCACCAGTCTTTAACTATTTTTATAATATTTTCATACTAGTCGCGGGCAATTTCTGCAGGGCTTTCTGGATGAGGAATGAGACGACGTCTCAGAAATTTTTCTAGCTTGTCATAGTTAGACAGGATACTTTATAGATATCAAAGTTGGGTTGTTCATTATAACAACTAATTAGGGTTTTGAGAGGTTTTAGACCTATACTCGAGAGAAAGTGTAGTTAATAATGAACAACCTACGAATTTCATGACGAGGCATGTGGTGATGACACGAAGCATGGATAGGGTTCTATGAGATATAAAGTCGATCATCTCCAAATTTAGTATTTTAATATTATTTTCTTATTAATAAATAATCAAGTACTAGAACAAAAAAACTAGGGTTGAGATCCATTCGATGCGATTCCTTAGGAAACATATAGTCACAAAAACATAGCAACAATTTACTCAGTCTTACGTTCGTACGTAGAATTAACGAGGGCATTACCTTTAAGCAGTTTAAGTGAGACTCAACCAAAATGGGGTATAAAGCATGGCATGCAATTGTCCTCCCGATCAAGATACTATCCTCATCTTCATCAGCTGAAATTTCATCTGCCTTCTTAATACTGTACTCTTCTACTTCTTTCTTACTGTTACTGTTACCTTTGCTTTCCATTTTCAACTTCTATAGTTTGTGTGTACCACCTATCACTCTATATATAAATGAAAATTCCCAGAAACTGTATAATGCAGGGATGCCATAGTTGTGCCTATTTTTGTAAGCAAGTGATTGGCTTAATGCATGCAATGAATGGTTATATCAGTCAGAAAACACTAACTGGAGTACACTGTGTACTGACCTTTTTGCCTTACCATTTATATTTACATAGCTTTTTACGATCTTGAAAGGAACATTTCAAGAGTTTCTTGGATACTGTGGACCATTTTCCTGTCTTCTTGCATGATTAATCACTATTCACGACATCATATGTATTCACATTTCTAGTAACTCATTCAAATTCACTATTTGTTCAAGTGTGTACTTAACAATTATTGGGTTTCGTGTTTTCGTTAAAGATGATGGCTCGTTTGACATTTAAGCGAATTCAATTGCTCGATTAAGTTATTTGAGACATTTTGTTGTTTATAATTTTAAGCAATATGAGAGTATATATTACTTTACTTGATCGAAGTAAGTTTTATGTCCAGTTTCCAACCTCTTAAAAGAAAGCAATAAATAATAAATAGTTTTGCAATCATTTACCAAAAACTTGATAATGTTTTTTGGATGATATGTCGAAATAGTGAGTCATCATTAAAATTAAAGTCACCGTTTTCAATCAAACAATCTAAAAAAACATTTTAAAAAAATTACAGTTCCATATAATTTTTTCAATCACTCGCTCTTAAAAAAAAAAAAAAAAATCAATTTTCACATAATCACTTCTCAACAAACCAACTTCAAGGGCTCAATGCCGTAACAATATTTCATCGTTAGCTATCATCATAACCAGTTTAGGTAAAAGTAGGCCCAATGTAAGGTACAATATAGTTGTTGCAATGCATTAGACTAGGGGTGTAAGCGGTTCGATTTTTGCGGTTTTTGACAAATTTTCAAACAAAACCGTTTTGACCGGTTTGAAAAAAACTCAAACCTAAACCTAACGGTTTGGTCCGGTTTTAAACCGCCGGTTTCGCGTATATTTTTTTCTTGTCTAGTGTCTACTTTTATGCCATTAATTCAATATATATTTATATCTTACTAGCAATAAATCTAAAACAAACTAAATATATCTACTATAAATTTAAATACCAACAAAATAAAAGTAAAATCACAA